AAATGAAGAGCTGTTTAAAGACAAGAAGGGAAGCCTTAGCCCTAGTCCTAGGGAACCCTGTGATATAGACACAATCATGGGCATTCATGAAGGTTATAGAATCATGCTGTATAGGATGTCCTGCAACTGGTTCTGAAAGCCAGCACTGTGTTAAACATCTCCCCTAAGAGGACACACCAACAACATGCCACACATGGCACTGTGTGCTGCTGTGTGAACACAAGCAGTTTAGCTCATTCCAGCCTTCCACTGATGAACAGTAGCATAAAAATGAGTTTTTCTCAAAAAGGCTTTGTTATTAAGAGGAGATAAAGTTTTTTTAAAAAAGAGTTGGTATGGTGGTATACACCAGTAATACCAGTACTTGGGAGGCTGAGGTAGGAGGATCACTGTGAATTTGTAGCCATCTTGAGCTACATCGTGAGTTCAAGACATAGTGAGACCTTGTCTCAAAGAACAAAACAAACAAAAGATTAAAAGAAAAAGAAAATCGGATCAGGGATTTAGCTCAGTGGCACTGCACCTGCCTCGAAAGTGCAAGGTCCTGAGTTCTATCCCCAGTACCAAAAAAGAAGAAAGAAAATCACTGTCTGCTGGTGATAGGAAACAGTAAAGGACATTAAACAGGACACTTATATGATAGTGTGTGTGTGTTGTGTTGTTTTGTTTTTGTTTTTGTTTGAGATGAGGCCTCATTATGTTGCCCAGGCTGATCTCAAATTGTGGACTCACTTGACTGAATGCCCTGCCTCAGCCTGCCAAGTATAGGTGCTTCTATAGGTGCTTCTCACTATGCCCAGCTGGGATTTGTGGTGAGAAAACTAGCTACTACAAGGACAATTTTCCATGTAGGAAGTGGACAGGAGCAGAATAGTTGTCAGGAAAGGGACCTGTGGAGAAAGAGCAGCCTTGAGCATTAAGGTGAAGGGCTAGAGCAAGCAATGTGGAGGGGACAGTGCCGGAGGGGTGGTAAATGGCTTTGCCACTGCACCAATGCATCCTCCCACACCCTTCTCACGCAGTCACCTGCTCCAGGGTCCAGAAGGGAAGACTCAGGTAGGCAGCGGGCTTGCCCACCATTGTGAGTCACTGTGTGACCCAAAACTGGGGCCCCTGGTTGCAAGAAAGCCCTGTTTTACCCAGTGAACCATATACTGCTTGGGGGAGACCCTCAGGCTCCTGAAAGGGTAGAGGGGGCAGAATACCTGCCTCCTTGGGGCTCATCATTTACAGAGTTGCCTTGTGAACCCACAGAGGTTGGTTACACTGAGTTTTGCATTGCACGGGAAGGGGGCTGGTGGGAGGGGTGAGCAGAGCTGGGAGGTGAAGAGCAGGTGCACGAGCAGCTGTGAGTGAAAGGTATGAAAACAGGCACCATGTCTTCCTCTGTGGTTAGCGGTAAACAACCTGAGCCCTGGGTGATGGTGGGAGGTGATAGAGGAGAGGAGGATGGGGAGGTGCGAACTTCCGGAGCCACAGCAGACACGCCCCCTTTGCTCACAACTGCCTCCCTCCCTTCCCTTTGCCTGGTCTCTATCACTTCCTCTGCCTCTCTCTTTCTGGGCTTTCTGCCTCCCGGCTCCCCTGGAGAATCTGCAAGGGATGGGAAGTAGCCAGAGGTGCTACATCTGCTGCCCTCCCCAAAGCCTTTAGAAGCCTAGGCAGTGCTGTTCAGTGGAGGGAGTGTTGGTTCTGGAGGGAGGTGAACATGATCTTCACAAAGACACGACTGGAAGAGTGCTGTTCTGTGTCTTGAGCTTGTTGAGTGGGTCACAGCAGGTGAGAGGCCATGACCACAATTTCAGGAATAGGGAGACAAATAAAGAGGAAGCCTGCAGGCTATGGCAGCACCCACCTGCCCCTTCCCCACAGCAGGCTCCTAGGTTTTCAGGATTGATTTATTTATTTGGCTACTGGGGATCGAACTCAGGACCTTGCACTTGCAAGAGGCATGGAGCCACTAAGCTAAATCCCTGGCCCCAACAGGCTCCTAGGTTTTAGTGCTACTCTTCAGAATTAGAGCATATTTCCCTTGTCCCAACCACATCCAGTCCCCAGTAGCAGTCTTTCATAGCTCTGGACACATAAACACGTAAGACACAGGTGCACAGCCTGTCAGTTTGCGAAGCATGTCACACTATGCATCTCCTTTCATCCTCATTGCTTCCCAGTGAAGGATTAATACCTTTTACAGAGGAAAAACTGAAGTTATAGGCTGAGATGTAGAGTACTTTCCTAGCATGTGTGGGGCCCTGGGCTTCTGAAGGCTTCGGAGAGGCCTCAGCACCCCCCAAAAAGAAAAAGAAAATTGGAAAAGGGAACCCCAAGGAAATTTGGAATATGGTGAGTGGGACATACTGGAGTGCAGTTAGCCTGGGGGGAGGGGGAAGAAAAATCTAGACAGGCGGTAGGGTTCCTCTCAGAGAGGACAGACGGGGCCCTCAGTTCTCACTCCTGTCTTCTGTCCCTGCAGTACAAGGAACTGGCCAACTATAATGACAGCACAGAGAGCCCTCTCCTGGAGAGCCACTTCTGCTCCACAGCTGAGGGGCCCCTTCTGACCTCCTTCAAGGCCGTGTTCATGCCGGTGGCCTACAGCTTCATCTTCCTTCTGGGGATGATGGGCAACATCCTGGTGCTGGTGATCCTGGAGCGGCATCGGCAGACTCGAAGCTCCACCGAGACCTTCCTGTTCCACTTGGCGGTGGCTGACCTCCTGCTGGTCTTCATCCTGCCCTTTGCTGTGGCTGAGGGCTCTGTGGGCTGGGTCCTGGGGACCTTCCTCTGCAAAACTGTGATTGCCCTGCACAAGATCAACTTCTACTGCAGCAGCCTGCTCCTGGCCTGCATCGCTGTGGACCGCTACTTGGCCATTGTCCATGCTGTCCACGCCTACCGGCATCGCCGCCTCTTCTCCATCCACATCACCTGCGCAGCCATCTGGCTGATGGGCTTCCTCTTCACTTTGCCAGAGATTCTCTTTGCCAAGGTCAGCCAATCCTATCACAATGACTCCCTGCCACGCTGCACCTTCTCCCAAGAGAACCAAGCCGAAACCAACGCCTGGTTCACTTCCCGCTTCCTCTACCATGTTGCGGGCTTCCTGCTGCCAATGCTAGTGATGGGCTGGTGCTATGTAGGGGTGGTGCACAGACTTTGCCAGGCCCAGAGGCGCCCTCAACGACAGAAGGCCGTCAGGGTAGCAATCCTGGTGACCAGCATCTTCTTTCTATGCTGGTCACCGTACCATATTGTCATCTTCCTGGACACCCTGGCAAGGCTGAAGGCTGTGGACAATAGCTGCGAGCTGAATGGCTATCTCCCTGTGGCCATCACCATGTGTGAGTTCCTGGGCCTGGCCCACTGCTGCCTCAACCCCATGCTCTACACCTTCGCTGGCGTGAAGTTTCGCAGTGACCTGTCTCGGCTTCTGACCAAGCTGGGCTGTGCTGGCCCTGCCTCCCTGTGCCAGCTCCTCCCAAGCTGGCGTAAGAGCAGTCTCTCTGAGTCAGAGAATGCCACCTCTCTCACCACCTTCTAGGCTCCAATGCCCTGCTTTATTTCTGCTCTCCTTGGGGTATTCGGGGATGCTGGAGCCTCTTCCAACAGGAGCTGGTGTCCTAAAAGCTAGAGTGGTCAGCATCTCATGGGGCAGTGAGATGAACCAGCCCCCCTTGAGGATGTCCCTGCAGCGCCTCCACAAGCCCCAGGGCTAGGCTGAACCCCACGGAGGGGAAAGCAGCCGAAAGGCAAAGCAAGGACTGTCTGTACCCATCTGCATCACCCTGAGCTTAGAGGACCCTACACACCTCCTCCCATCCTCACCAGCCAAGACACAAGAACCAACTTTTACTTCTACCCTGGCCAGTAAGGAAAGTCAGTCCCCTCCCAGAATATACTCCATCATCTTAGGGCTGCTCACTGCCACAGCTACCCATCTCACCTCTGATGCCACTTGCTGAGTGAAATCAGAAGAATCTGGGCACCAGAGGATGAGTTGAGGTTAAGGCTGAGGGTCATCCAGCTGGCAGCAGGATGGCCTTTATGTTTCTCAGACCCCTAAACTGAGAAATTCTGCCAGGACCTGAGCCCTTTGGCCATCTTGACCAAGTGGGAAGGTTGCATTGATTCACTTTAAGTGACCAAAACAGCACCAGGTCAGCCCCATGTCATTGGGGCTGACCCTTGACTGCAGACTGAGAACAGACTTTCAGGTGCCCACAGAGTGCCCTAATCAGGAACTAAGGGAGAGCCAGGAGAGGAATCTAGTGGAGAAATGGAAAATCTCCTTCCCCAGCCCCCAAAGGGGACAAATATGAATCCAACCCAGCTGTCATCTCTGCCCAGGGACCAGATGGAGGTGGGTGGAGATCTCCCAGTGTGGACATGAAGAGACAGGATCCAAGGCCCCAGTTCTGGGTACTGATTGAGAAGAAGACAGACTTAGTCCCCATTTCCACAGTCTACAAGGTCTATAAAAACTAGAACAGCAGAGGGCCTTGGACCATAGCAGAAGGACTTAGCTAAAGGTCAGAATGGTGTAGAGACGCCCTGGGGAGAAAGACAGATTAAAGGGGACCTCTGGAAGTCATCTCATTCAGCCCCAGCCCCCATGTCACCTTAAGTAGGGTAGTGTGACAACCAGACCTGGGCAGGGAAGTCCCCAGATGCCAAGAAGCCTGCCCTGGCCCTGAGAGGATACCACTCAGATGGAACCAGAGGAAGCTGCTCCATGCTTAGGGAGGCCTGTTAGCCAGTTCCGGGCTCTCCTTCCCCTTCTCAGCCTTGACATGGGCCAAGCACCTGCTGAGGGCCCATCTGGGTCCCCAGTTCTCAAGCCCACCAGCCAAGTTCCCTGCGAGGCCCTAACTGGGGAAAGCAGGGGTGTGACTTTACCGTGAAATTATGGGGAACCCCTGGAGTCCCCTTTTTTCTCCTAGCATTCAACAGCAAGCTGGGCAGTGGAGGAAACAGACACAAAAGCAAAAAGGCAACAGGTTGGATTTTGAGTTTTCTTTTTAATAAAAAGGCACCTATAAAACAGGTCAATACAGTACAGGCAGCACAGAGACCCCCGGAACAAGCCTAAAAATTGTTTCAAAATAAAAACCAAGAAGATGTCTTCACATATTGTATTTATATATTTATATTTATATATATATTTATATAATGGTACAAAATGGCTGGGGGTATGGCCATGGATGGAGGAGAAAGGCTGGCCGGTAGAGCTCACCTGGGGAAGCTGGTGGTGGAGGTGGAGCAGAGGGGACCAAGAGGGTGTAGGCCCCTTGTGGTCTAAGCCCTCTCCTGGGGCAGGAAACACTTAGTAAGACAGATTGGGCAGTCTTGGGACAGGGTGGGGTTCGGGGGCACAGGGCCCCGGGCAGGGGCAGAGGCAGGGCAGGTAGGCAGCATGCCTGGCAGGATGGAAGGCTAGCCCCCCGACACAGAGCTGGCCACGGCTCTGGGAGGTGCTGGGAGAGTCAGGAGCCCACAGCCAGCCCGAGTGGAGGAAGTGGCGCTTGACCTGGCTGATGGTGGACCAAGAGGACAGCACCAGACTGGGAGAAGTGGGCACAAATTCCCTTTGTATTACAGCTGCCAAGGTGAGACCAGGCCCTGCAGGTCAGGAAGGCTGGGGGTAGGGCTCTGGTAGAAGACACCCTGTCTAGAATGGCCCTTGGCCCTGCAGGTGTGGGGCACAAAAGGGCTTGGCCAGGGAACTGCCCCACCACCTCATGGGGCAGGGAAGGAAGTGAGAAAAAGAGGTTTCTAACTCCTGGGTCCAATGGGTCAAAAGTCCCGTATGGCTTCAGCTCTGACCATTGGTGGGTGAGGAGCTCTCCTGGGAAGGAAGGAGGGGACTGAGGGGGAGGCAGTGGGTGAATATAGACAGATCTGGCACACACAGCCCTGAGCCCTGGGCAGAGGGACCTTGCCTGTGAGTGGGCAAGCAGAGAGGAGGTGGCAGGATATTCCCAGCCCCTCCAGGGCTCCTTCCACTCCAACCTGCGGGCTGGAGGCTGGAGGCAAGGCAGACTAACTCAGCCAAACCCTGTTCCTTCCTTCTTTGATAAGAAGTAGGTGGCCACCTCTGGAAGAATTGGAGCTCCTGGGCATTACCTGGCCCAGGGCTAGGGCAGCCAGACTCCAGCAGGATTAGGCCTTTCCTGGCTCCACTTAAGGGGCCACTCAGACACTGCCCCTTCCTCTTTTCCTTCATCTCAGACTGGAGACAAAGGGCTTCAAGTTCTGGCTAAGATGTAGCAGCAAGGGCACCCAGACCTCCACAGCGGGAAGCCACAGCCCTGTGTGACTGGCATAGTGTACACACACATTCTCCACGAATCACTCAGCAGCAGATAGACTGCTGTCCTGGGGGGCCTCAGCCCTGCTGGGGCTCACCAGGTGGAAGCCTTGGTGGTCTGACCTCAGTTTAGGTGTGGGGCACCTATGTCATCTTACCACTTGGAGAAGGGACAGAAATGGTGTCCTTTAGGGACCCAGAGACACTGCACAGTGGGTGGGTGTGTAGGATTACATGTCCTGGGTCCAGGGGAATGAAGAGGACAATCATCTGAAGAGGGGGGTTTCTTTTATCCTTTTTTTTTTTTTGTATGACTATCAAAACACAGAAATACAACACACACACAAACCGGCACAAAAGCGCAGCGCTCTATTTACAGCTCCAGCTGGCACCTGCCCACCTGGCCAGCCCCCTGCAAGGGGTGTTGGGAACGGGAGTCAGCCATGTCAGCGGGGAAAGGGAATGAAGCAGGAAAAAACAGAAGGGAAAATGGGTAGGAGCAGAGGAACAAGAGGAGAAAAACAGCTCAGAGCTTGAGCAATGAGACAGCAGCAGAAAGAGTCAGAGAGGGGACACCCTCTCTCCTCCAAGGACCCAAAGCATAGCTGAGGGGCAGGGGCTGCAGAGAAAGAGGGGAAAGAGAGGCTCTGTAGGAATCAGGATGGCAAGGAAGGGGCATCCTGGTGGTTAAAATGGAGCAAACCCCAATCCCGAACCCCCCACCCCACTCTGCCACTTCCCCTAAGCTGCCGGCACATCTGGTTTCCACAAATGCCACTCCCGCACCAGACCCCTCCCACCCCCTCCAACCCACCCCTGGACCCAGGTCATCCCAACACTGTAAGGAAGAAACTCTTTTAAGGTCAGCATGTTTGCAACCGTGCCCGCTTGAGCCCCGCAGGGGCTGCTAGAAGGGCAGGTTGGCCATGCTGCCCGGCGCCGGGAGGTAGCCGATCTGGCTGTCCAGAGACACGCTGCGCTGCCGCAGCGGGTGAGACACCATCAGGTTCTGCTGGGGTGGGGGGCCCATGAGGGAGCCCTGTGGGGAGAGCATGTGGGGGGGCTGGGTGTAGACTTCACCCCCCACACCTCGCTGCTTCATCAGCATGAAATTCTGCTGGGTCATGAGGCCTTGTGGTGGGGACATGACCCCCTGTTGCAGGCCGTGGGGCACCATGCCCTGCTGTGGGGGCACACCTGTCCTGCCCAGCAAGGACATCTGTCCGGGGTGGCACATGGACATGTTGAGCCCCCGCTGGACGCCCTGCTGGCCTGGGAGGTTGGGGGGCCGAGAGGGGGTCTGCTCCGCCATCATGTTCTGCAGGTTCATGAGATGCAGATTGGGGGGCTGGGCCTTGGCGGGCTGGTTCTCACTCTTGGGGAAGTACTGGAGGGTGCTGCTTGGCTTCTCAGAGGGGATGATCCTTGACAAGTCAAACTCAGGGATCCCAGTCGGGGTAGGTCTGATCACCTCGCTCAGCTCTGGGTCGTTCAGCACTGATGCCACCCCTGGGAGCACCCCCGGTGGGTACGCGTCACCCATGCGCCCAGCCATGCCTTTGCCCATCAGGTGATGCTGGGGGGGCATGGGGCCCGCTGGCTGGCTCGGCATGTCCTCTGGGGGCAGGGGCATGCCCGAAGGGTAGTGCTGCTGCAGGCCAGGTCCCCCGCCACCACCCCCAGCAGGAGCCATGGCACCATGGGGCTGCTGCAGCCGAGGGGGAAAGGGCATCATCTGGGAGGAGCTGGGCACAGGGCCACAGGGGGCATTCAGGGAGTCTGGGCCCCCAGGGGCCATCATCATCGAGTTCTGAGGGGGCCCTCCTGCCCCCTGTGCGTTGGGGTGTAGTGGAATGTTGGATCCCAGAGGGGTGGGGGAGGGCAGCATGGTAGGTGGGGGCTCATGGGACAGGGGCTGCTGGCCTGGCAGGTTCATGGCCATGGGGCTTTGGGCAGCCGTGGAGTTCAGGTGCATCTGGTTGGGCTGGTTGTTGCTGATGCCTGTGAGGAGAGGACAGAGGGGTCAGGGGCTGTGTGCATCTAGCTGGGGGAAGTGGGAACCCAGTCCCTCCCTACTCCCCAGTTAGGTGGTGCTAGAGCACCAGCTCTCAACATAGCCACCCTCAGCTGCACCACAAGGGAAGGGACTATAAGCATCTGAGCTAAAAGCCAAGAGCCCACGTGCTGGCCTTTTGCCACGGATGTGTTAAGGGGCATTGAAAAGACCACTGGGGTGCTCTGGGGTGGATTTTGCTAAATGACTTTCAGGAGTGGGAACAAGTCCTAGACCTCATACCCTATATCCAATGCCCTGGGAAAGCATGGAAAAGCCAGCATGACTGCAGGGCAACTGTTGGCCATGCATGTACCCTCCTCCCCATTTCCAGTGCCCCTGGCCCATCCTCACACCTGGCCCAGAGCCCTGTGGTGGCGGAGGAGGGGGCAGCAGGGGCCGGTCAGGCAGCAGCTCGTCGTCTGAGGTGGCGATGGTCTTGATGGCATTGTGGTAGAGCGGGGTGGAGCTGGGCATGGCATACTTGGACATCTGGGACATCATCAGTGACAGGGGGTTCTGGGAAGGTGTGGGGTCTGGAGAAGAAGTGAATGGTAGGCTGGGGTTCATGAGGCTGCTGGGAGGGTTGGCAGGAGGCGCTGAGGAGCTGCTCCGGGGGCCACTAGGTGGGAGGGCACCTACAGAAGCCAAGGAGATAGAAAGAGAGCAGGGCGGTGATGGGAGGGAGTTTGGCTGCTCATATTGGGAAATTTAGGAAGAGGTCAGCTCCCCAGATCTCCTACTGACTCCTCCAGGAACACCCACACCCCACAGAACACAGCCCTCCAACCCACGTTCACCATGCCCCACCATCTTCAAGCAATTCCCGAAGACTCAGGGCCTTAGGCAGAGGGGAGATACCAAGTCCCGGGTATGGGACGGATGCAGCCCTACGCACCCACCCACTTGGCACCCCTAAGATAGCCCAACACAGTTGCGCTCCCAACTCCAGCCCAGTCCTATGCACCATGGCGGTGCCTTCCCACTGACTCACCCTGTTCCATGTTGGTCAGGGTGGAGGAAGAGTTCATGTTGAGAGGCGGCTGCTTATTCTGGGAGACCCCCGGACTGGGCATGGCTGTCTTGGGTGAGGAAACCCAGCCTGGAGAAGGCACCGCCATGGAGGGAGACTTGAGTCTGCTGGGTGAGCCAGTGGGTGAGCGGACATTGAGAGAGGAGCTGAGAACCTGGGGTGACTTGAGAGGTCCTGGAGGGTTGGCAGAGGCCAAGGGCACCATCTGCGAGGGAGTCTGGGGTGACTTCAGGTTGGCAGAGGGTGAGGTGACCAGGGGTGAGTGCACCTGGCTAAGGGTGGGTGACTTTAGGTGCCCCATGCCCGGCGAGCCCATCTGATTAATACTGATGGTGAGGTCTGAAGGCCGTCTCCCCAGCCCCCGGTTTGGGGCTGAATGCACAGACCCAGGAGGATTGGATGCAGCTGCCAGAGGCATGTGGCTGAGCCGGGTGGTGCCCACGGTGCCCATGGGCATCGAGCCCTGGTCAGGACTGAACATGTCTTGGGTGTTGCCCATGTCCTGTGGCATGGCTTGGTAGGGTCCCTGGCCCCCAGAGAATCCCTGCTGGCCCTGGTTGGGAAACTGAGAAGGCATAAGCATCTTCTGTGGGCCACCCATCATGCTGCTGCTATTCTGGGCCCGAACCCGGGCTATCTCCTCAGGACTGAGGCCTTGGGGTCCCATCATGTCTCCAGGGCCCCGCATCTTCTGTGACATCAGCATCTGTTGCTGCGGGGTCATCTGCACATTCAAGTTCATGTTCATGTTCATGTTCACATTCATGTTCATGTTGAGGTTGCCTGGCCCCATGGGCGGGTCCACCTCCCTCAGCCCAGACTGCCCCATGGGAGGGCTCAGGAGGCCTCGGCCACCACCAAACTCCATGCCCATGGGAGTGCCTGCCAGGCCTTCGCCACCAGCCATCTGCCCAGGGAACATGGTGGGATCCATCTGCCGGTGTGCCTGCATCATCCGCTCCATCTCCATGCTCTGCCCCATGCCACTGCCTGCCATGCCCAGGGGGCGCTGCATGCCCATCGATCGCTTCTCTAGCAGCTGGTGCCGCAGCAGCTCCTCCCGGACCCGAGGGGTCATGAATCGCTCCACCTCACCCTGCCCACCTGGGTAGGGCACAGCATTCTGGGCAAAATTGCTGGGTCCCCCCATAGGGGGCAAGTCCTCCGTCCAGCCCATGCCTGGCCTCACAGGCCTCTGCATGGCATTCATGGGCACCTCCATAGGCATACTCTGCATGGCCCCAAACCCAGGCACCCGTTGCATTTGGTTCCCTGGGAAACGGGGGCCGGGGAAGGGAGATCCACCCCGGAGCTGCATGGGATCTTGGACATCCATGGGCCCACGCAGCTGTGTACCCATTCCAGGCGGCCACTGATCCCCAGGCTTGCTGTGGTAGGGAGGTGGAGGACCCCTCACCATCATGCCACCCATACCCATCATGTCCTGCAGAGGGCGGCCCCCGTGCAGCCCAATCTGCTCCTCCTTCCGCCGCTTCTCCTCGTAGTACTCCTCCTGCAGCTTGCGCCAGGCCACCTGCTCGGGAGTCAGGCTGTCCTGGCCCAGCCTTTGCATCATCATGTTCATCTGCTGTCCCATGTCCCCGCCGGGGGGGTGCCCAGGCACTTCATGCTCCAGTGGGGGGGCCCCTAGGCTCTGTGTCTGTGAAATCATGGACTGCAAGGGCTCCTCATACTTCTTCAGCCCACTGGGAGGGGCCGTGAGAGGCTGCTGAGCGGCAGAAGGAGCTTGTGCTGGTGGACCCCCCTCACCTGCTCCACCAGGGGGCCCCTTGAGGAAAGGCTCTGTCTCTCCACTACGGAGCAGCAGCCGTTCAATGTCTCGCAAGGTCTGGAGGGAACGCTCCCGATGCTCCAGCTGTTCTTTGGACAGGCCCTCAGAGCCCACTAGGCTGCGCTGTCCATTTCCTGTGGGGGTGGCCTCTCCCAACAGTGCAGGGCCAGGAGCACTGCCAGGGTCTCCTCCAGGAGGCAGAGGGTTGTTAGCAGTGGCAGCCGTCGGGGTGTTAGGGTGGGTGCCCCCAGTCCCACCACCCGTGCTGGCAGCGCCCACCGAGTTGGGGGCCAGGTCCTGACTGGTATCCTCAGGAGGCCCCTCGGGGGGAAGTGCAGGGGGGGCGCTGCCAGGGGCAGGGGGTGGCGGTGGTGGCAGTGGAGGTGGCTGGGACTGCGGGGTTCCTGCTGATGGCGTGCTCAGGGATAGCGGTTCTGGGGTGGGTGGCACTTTGGGAGCCTGCAGAAAGAAAGGCAGAGCCTGAGACAGCTAAGGGGACTTCCAAACCCATCTCAGAGCCAGATGGGGCATCACACTCACCTGGTCCAGCTTGGCCCGGGGCACATTCTGCTGGTGATAGGCAAGGATGGAGTCTGCCCGGCCCTGCAGCACTGCATCTGCAGCCCTGCATCAGAGTATCAGGAGTGGACAGCTCAGAGAGGTGGGCAGGAAGGAGCCCCCAGCCTCACCCGCTCCATCCTGTCCCCTACTCATGTTCACCCCCAAGGGACACTGGGTAGACAGAGTGACCTGGACTCTCCCGAGGCACTTACGTGTTGGCCAGGTGGGTGGTGAAGACATACACAAACTGCGAGGGAGGCTTTCCAGGGACACCCCCAGCCCCAGAGGCATCGGGCCGAAGCCCTGGTGGGGGCCCATGTGGGGGGCCCGGTGCACTGCTCTCACTGAGTGGCAGTTGGGCAGTTTGGCTGGGACCCAGCTGTGGGGCCGCCATAGCGGGGTCTGCTACATTACAATCTGCAGGAAGAGAGAGGAGAGAAAAAGGGCGTGAGCAGCCCAGATGCAGGAGAATCCTCAGGCACCTCTGCCCAGGGATGCTCACCGCCTCACAGGCAGTGGCCCCTGGTCATTTGTTGTTGCAATCCTGTGTCTCCACCAGTCTGGTTTTCACGCTGAGTTGCCCCAACCCAGTCTTTGCCCAGAATGGCAAGAGTGATGGCCAGTGGAGAGGAGAGGAACCAAAGCTCAGCCCTCACTACAACTCCAGGTGCCCCCATGTGCCTGGTATGCCATGGGATATTTACAAGTGTGAGTGTGTATAATCAACACACCACCGGGAGGATCGTATCATGCTCCAGTTTACAGAGGAGGAAATGAGACAAGGCAGCTCACCTACCTTTACACACAAAGCTAGTATAGAATTGGGATTTGAACCCATGCATCACTTCTCGGCCTTTTGGCTAAGATCAAGTGTAGGATTTGAACCCATGGTGGCCATACAAAGCCTCCTCAGATCTACTGACCGCTCCCACCATGGCATGTGTGTGTGTGCATGTGCAAAGCGCCTAGCGACCCAGGCAGGGAGGGGCAAAGAGGTTGCATAAACTAGTGATTCATACAATGAGAGGTTTCTCATCCTAACCCCACCAATTGACTTTGCGATTTTATGAACAAGTCACATCATCTCACTAAGCCTCCATTTCTTCATCTACAAAATGGAAGTGCTGGCTCCCTGCCCCACACAGGAGACAGATCAAAGAAATATTTACTAGGTCACAAAGCAAAATATTTGGGAAAAGGGCGGGGGGGATTGTTGGTGTGCATCTGTAATCCCAGGTACTCAGGAGTCTAAGGCAGGAAGATTGAAAGTTCAAGGGCTGGAGATGTAGCTCAGTGGTTCCAGCACCTGCCTCGCAAGCGCAAGGTCCCCAGTTCGATCCCAGTACAAAAAAAAAAAAAAAAGAAAGAAAGTTCAAGGCCAGTCCATCTCCAAAAAGCATAAAAAGGCCTAAGGATGTAGCTCTGTCCTCCTTGGGTTCAATTCCCTAGGACTATCATCATTCATCATCGCTGTGATCATCATCAATCATCATCATCATCATCAAATTAGAAAGTCTACATAGGAAAAAAAGGACTCTCACACAACAATCAACACAGAAGACTTCTTGGGGTTTTGCTTTTTTTGAGACGGGGGTCTCGAAGTGTAGCTCAAGCTGACCTTGAACTTACTATGTAACCCAGGCTGGGCTCAAATTCACCTCAATCCTCCTGCCTGAGTCATCTAGAGTGCTGGGGTCACAGGCATGTGCCTGCATGCCTAGTGACTTCTCAGTTTTGTTTTGTTTGGTCCTAAGGATTGAACCCAGGGTCTTCACACTGAGCTACATACTCACTCCTATTTTTTATTTTGAAACAGTCTTGTTAAACCACTAAGTTGCCCAAGCTGAGCTCGAATTTACAATCCTCCTGTTTCATTCTCTGAGTGCTAGAATGACAGGTGTTCCCTACTAACACAAATGTCTGTGACCTGTGGCCACCTACAAGTGCGTGGGGATTTCTCCCTGCCAGCAACCAATCAATCAGCACTGCAGCAGAGAACACCAGCTGAGTGTTCTCCAATTCAATTGTGACATTATCCACTAGAGAAAGTGCCTGATCTCAACGGTTAAGACTAAGGCCCAATCGCTGTCTCCCATTTCCATTGCCAGTCACAGCCCCAGGTTGTTTTGTCTGTGAATGACCTGTAAATCGGGACTCCAGGGCCCACTGCTTAGATTCTACTCACTTGCTGGAACAGTTCACAGAACCCAGGAAACACTTCCAATTACCAGCTTATCATAAAGGCTATTACAAAAGACACAGATGTTCAACTATCTGGAAACTCCTCAAAACCAGTCATTTTGGGTTTTTTTTCTTTTTTGAGACTTCGTTAGGCATAATTGACAATTATTGGCCACAAGTGACCAAACTCAACCTTTAACCCCTCTCCCCTCCCCAGAAATCAGGGGTGGAGAGAGACTGAAAGTCTCAACCCTCCATTCCTGCATTGCTCTTTCCAGGAATCAGTCCCCATCCAGAAGCTCCTTCAGAGCAGCCAGCCATACAGCTCTTATCACTCCTGTAGCATACAAGACACATACCACTTTGGAGATTCCAAGGATTTTAGGAGCTGAATGCCAGGAAGCAGGACAAGACCAAATATATATTTCACAACATCCCAGGCTGACATACTGGGAACACTCCCAGAATAGATCAGCACTAAGAAGAGATTTGTTCCATGATCACAAACTTGACTCTTACTCAGTTCTGGCCTAGAAAAGATCCACAGCTGGTTATCAATAAGTCAGGTGAGAGGGCTGACCCATCGCCATGCCAAGAAGAACAAGTCAAAGTGCTTGGTGGGCAGACAGTAAGTAATAGCATACATGATACAAGACCAACAAGACCACTGAGGGAAGCCGCCTTGCTGAGCAGGCCCAGCAGCAGGCTCCTAGCTCACCACCCCACAAGAGCCCTGCTCTGGACCCTGTCAGAAAAACAGAGCCAGAAGTTGGGGGGAACTTGACAACTGACAGTGTATGAGACTGCCCCAGAAGAGAGTGTATGCAACAGGCTTCTGGATGCCAGCCACAGAAAGGCAAGCAGGGGTTATTACAGAAAGGAACTTTCCTGTACAATAATAATATAAGCTCATTTATTCCTCTACCAACCCTAGGGGGTAAAGATTATTCTTATGGAAGAGAAAACTGAAGTCCTTTCCCCAATTTACACAAATAACAGATGAAGTCCCTGGGATGCAAATCCAGGCAGACTGATCTCTGAGCCTGGGCCATCAACGTCTATGTTACACTGCGCCTTCATTAAGAGCTCTTCAGGAATGGAACAGCAGTTCAGCTAAAATAGTCAGTTGCTGGGTATGGGATCTTAGCAATGTCTTCTTCGTATCTCCCTGTGTCTTCCGAGTGTCCTACAGTGGTGTAGCCTAATGTTACGAAAATGAATTTGGGGTGGTGAGGTGCCATGGGGAGTCCTGATCCGGGAAGCAGTTCTCCCACTGAAGGGTTCTGCCAAAGGTTGTTCCATGGTGGCAAGGGGGACCTGGCACCAGATGGCCTTTGACTCCCAGCCAGCTGTACAGCCTTCTGCATTTGACCCTCCCCAGCATTTGCTGACTGTTTCCTCCACTGTAACAGCATCAGAATACTTACCTCCCAGGGCTGTTACAAAGATTAAATGGAGCATATTGTTGTTGTTGTTGTTGTTGTTGTTTTCTCTCCTTGCCTTCAAGAAACTCACAATTTAACATTCTCCAGCTACTTTCTTATGCATTCAAGTTGTCTCCCTCTCCCCCAAAACAGGTGTAAGCTTTGAGTGGAAACACCAAATAAATGTTTACAGGCTTCCAGGGCAAAGTTGCATCTGGTTCTCCGCCATCACTCGTGGAAGGCCCGGACACACAATGATCACTAAAAGAATGAGGAGAGCGCGCATCTAAACATGCCCACTCCCTGGGCTGGTGATGAACCCAGGGCACTTGCTGGGAGTCAATCAGAGGTTAGGAAGAGCACCAGAGACACGGCCAAGTGTCAGCTCACACCCAGGCTGAGCACAGCTTCACACAGGGGAGCCAACTTTTCAGCTCAGGGAGGCTGTACCTTCACTGCCCTCCCTATGATGACCAGTAGGTGGCAGCATAAGGCCAGGAATTCATGGTAGAGGTGTAAGCGAGGTGGCCAGGAAAGTAGCCACCTGAGAAACCCACCCCAGCTAAGTTCCTAGGAAGTGGCACTGAGCATCTAGAAAGCAGGGACTGGGCTGTCACGGTACAGGGAGGGACAGTGTGAGAGGTGAAACAGTAGGAACCTAGGCTCCTAACACTCGCCATTTATTGCCCAGTCTCAGTCCTCTGAAGCCCTAGGTGAGGGAAGCTTCCTCAGGTCACCACACCCCAAGGGCAGCATAGGCCAACAGCATTCTGGCATCAATGGGTACTCACTGTGACTGGCCCCAATGGGCTTGTCATCCTCCTCGCTGTCGGGTCCAGAGCACCATTCGTCCCCACTATATGGCTGCTTCCGCTCCAGCACACACCGCCGCTTACTCCGGGGTGCCACTTCTGCCCAGGCAGGATGCAGGCAAGGGTAAGAGAGTGAGTACCCAGAGGCCCTGAACTCTCGAACCCTGGGTCTCTTCTCCAAAATGCCTCACCCCAGAGGGCACTGCCCAAGCCATGGTGGACACTTTGCCAGTCTTTGGCCCCCACCACACCACCATTTGTTTCTGATTTTTCTCTGCAGCCCTGGCTGCCTGTATCCCCTCCCCCCCCCAACACCAAGCACAGCATAATCCCCAACCACAACTGGTTCTAATTAGGGCTTGGGGGGAGGGGGAACCGCTGTGTCTCTTCAGGCCCCATGCCTGTTCCCAAAAGGCTCCCACCAGGGGGATACCAGGAGCTCCAGGAGGTGTGTGGGTCTTCTCCTCACCCCAGGGCACCTCCCTTTCCTGCTCTGGGACTGTGGTGGGAGGGCAGAGGGGCAGTGAGTCCAGAAGCCCATCTCTCTGTGTGGCCTTCATGGGTGGCAGGAGGCTGAGAGAGAGGTGCCCCAGCATAAATGCTGAAGAGGATCATGGGAGATTAGGCAAGGAGGTCAGAGATGATCCCCTAGCTAGTTTGCATCTTGGACTGTGGAAGATGTTATGCCTGTCAGGGATAAGAAAAGGGGGTACCTTTGGCCTCTGAATCCAGGGATGGGGTCCCAGCCTCCCGCTGCTCTCCAGAGTCCACAGACACGCTCCGCTCCCGCTTCACTTTGCCCTTGAGAGAGCTGAAGGGGGGCACCCCTGCCTGCGGGTTCTTCAGACTTGAGTTGCTAGGTGAGATCTGGTTGGCCTTGGCCCCATGGCTACCCGCCCCCACGCCCTTGGAGCCCAGGTTGCAGGTGGGTCCTTGGTTCACATTCTGATGCTGGGATTGGGCCCCGCCATTCCCTGTCTTGCCATGATTGGTCAATTTATTTTCTGGGTGCATTGGCTTGGCTGGGGCAGGGGGGCAGTGGCCGCGGGGGGACAGCGGCGGGCTCCCTGGAGCTTCTCTCCTCCTGGGGTGGGGTAACCTGAGAGAAGGTGGGAGAAATGTGAAAAGTTAATACTAGGGGCTGGGTATGCTGGGACTTTACCCCATCCTGTCTCACCTGGGGGGAGGGGGCTGAGCGGCATCTCAAAACCACCTGCTATTCCCCACCACCCTCCATGAACCTGCAGACAAGACTGGATGCCTCCTGACACCTTGGGGAGTAGGGATAGGGCAACCTCCTCCGTACTTCCAACTCAGTTCAAACAGAAATCAGGGCCTTGAGTTGGCAGAATCCTCCCACCTCTGGCCCCCAATTTCCATCAAACTGCAAGATTCCCCGGCAATCCCTCTCCTCTAGCACCTGTCCGGTACTTAAGCACCCTCTCTTCTAGGGTTTGCTTCCTTCACACTTCTTTCAAGGTCCCAAACCTCAATTCTCATTTGTCCCCACACCAGTAAGACGGGCCACAGGACCGTGAGTCACTGCTCATGGCCCAGCCCCATTCCCCAGGGAACTTGGGGAAACGCACAGCCGAGAAAGACACCCACTGGTCCCCACAGCTCCCTAGAGCCAGAGGGGCAGGGTAGAGGAGGGTGGGGCGGCAGGCCGGAGGCAGGCAGGAGCAGGAGGGGGAGGGGAGCGGCGTGTCAGACAGACTGAAGCGCAGCTCGAAGCCAAGGATTCCTGCAGCCTAGGCTGCGGGCCCTTTAAGCTCCAGCCCGCTTCCCCCACAGCCTCCCCCTCCCCGGAGACCTATTAATAGCCGCTGGAAAGATCACATCACGGGAGAGGATATTTATCCCCCCTCATTCCACACCAGCTCAGATTTATTTCAGCTCTGCTGTCCTGCTGCTGCCGCCTGGCCATGTTTGCCGGCTTCTCCTGGGGAGGAGGAGGGAGGCAGGCACCCACATACACACACACACACACCAGCTCCCACCCTCAGCTAGAGCGAGGCCAGAGGGCACCATCGGACCCCACAGTAGGGTGGGTGGGGGTCTGCTCAACCGTTTTAAGAGGGAAGCGCTGGAAGGGAAAAGAGACAGCAGCCTTCGCTGCCTCCTGTGTCCAGCACTAAGGCTGGCTGCGGCTCCTGCCTGGGCCAGACAGTCCCACCGTACCCCCTTTAGCCAGATAGAGTGGGAGCCAGGTGCCTGGGGAGGGGGCTCGGTATCCAGGCCAGCACCACTTGGTCCCATCCACCGCTGGGCCCTTCCCCTTCCCCGCTCTCTCCGCGCGCGCGCGCACACACACACACACACACACACACACACACACACGCACGCACGCACGCACGCACGCACGTCCCGCCCTCCACGACACCCACACACCTTGTCTTGTTAGCCAGGATCCTCATGGCTCCCACACACAGTGGGGCTACGGCCCCTGTGCGTGCCCCGGGCCCAGCCAGGTACTCGGTACTGGAGCACGGACTGCAGCAACAAGCCCCAAAGAGAAAACTTGTGACTGGGGGAGGGGGTGGGAGAAGGGAAGGCCCAACAGCCCTGAGACTAGGGAACTGGATAGGGTAGGATGGGACTGGAAAGGGAAGACTAGGAGATGGGGTCTGGATCCCCGTGGCCGGTCTAATCCCCATGCCTCCCGCACCTTGCCCTCGGGGAGCTTGCAGTCTGCAGCAAGCCCCTCCCCGCCCCCCAGGGGCTGCAGACGCAGAGGTCACTAATAGGCTGGGCCGCTAAGGTGCCGCACGGGGCGGCCGCGAGGTCCGCTCGGGCCCCGGGGCGACTCCAGCTTCCGACACGCCCCCTACCCCCGGCCTCGGGAATCCCTGTCGGCCCCGCCTCTCGCGGAGCCCAGCCCCGGGGCTCTCCAGCCGCGGGGGGGGGGGGGGGGGGCTGGCTCGCCCTGGCCCGCCCCGCCCCCAGCTCTAGGCCTAGCCCGTGCCCATCCCAGCAGGCCCGGGCGGGCAGAGAGAGGCCTGGCGGGGCCCCGGGGCTGCAGCTGGGCTCTTCTGGAGACCAGTAACGCTGGCTCAGATTCCTCCTCGACCGCAAGAATGCAGGAGCCTCCCACCCCTCAACCTCCGCCCTGCACCCCACCCCGCCCCCCTCGGCAGAGCCCAAGCAAGAGGCAGCGCGAGCGAGCGAGCAGCGACAGAGCCAAGCAAGGCGGCGAGGGAGGAACGAGGCCGGCAGGACTACAGCGTGGCTCCTGGGCCCGAGTGCGGGACAGACACGCCAGGCAGAGGCTCGACGGCCCCCGGGCGTTGCGGGGTCGGGGTGCAGAGACCCACAAGTACTCGCACTGACTCACACACACTCACAGCTCATACGTGGACAGGGAGACAAAAGACACGCAGGGCGCCCAGGAAACTAGAGACAGCCCGCGGAGGGGTGCGGAGGCCGGGGCGGCGCCGGCCCCGGCGTGGAGCAGAAGGGAAGACTGAGTCCTGGCCACAAGGGAGCCATAGAAAGTTGATGAGCCTGACAGTCACAAAGAAACCACACTGGGCCGTAGGTGCGCCGACAGACAGACTTACACAGAGACGCCTCGACCAACCACCCTCTGCTCACCACCCCCCAGTAACCGATCCCGGTAAAAGGTGGAGGGGAGGAGTACTGGGTCCAGGAGCTGCCTCAGGTGACAGGTCCGTCCAGACACACCTGGAGGCTACACTGGGACCTCGGGGTGAAGGAGCCCCACCTGCCACCCTGTGGGAGTCTAACCCTAACTTAACCCAAGAGCACATAGGCCTTTCCTACTGCCGCTCAGACCTGGGAGAGGAAGGCTGCTCAAGGAAGGTTCCAAAGTCCAGGGCCTGGCTTGCTGACCCCACCTCCTGCTTCACAACCAGGAAAGAGCAAGGAAGAAGGTAGGAGCTGCCAGGGACACCAGGCTTAGAGTGGGTCTATGGCTGTCACTTTCAACCCCTGGCTGATTCTCAAAAGTACCCCACAGCCAGGTGTGGTGGCACATACCTGTAATCCCAGCACTCTGGGAGGCTGAGGCAGGAGGCAGGAGGATTGCTCCAGTTCAAGGCCGGCCTGAGCTACATAGTGAGTTCAGGACCAGCCCGAACTACAAAGTGAGACCTTGTCTCAACCCCCTTCCCCAAAAAAGTACCCCACTTCACTGTGAGGAAACGGAGGTCTAGAGAAAGGAAGTAATGTACCCTTGGGTCACTTGACAGCATGTGGTAATGCCAGCACGCCCACTTCAGGCACTGCAGTATCACCTGCGAGCCATGACTGCTCACTTGAGCCTACACTAGATAGGTGGGCTTCTCATATTCCAGCTGATGCAAGGAGAGGGGGTGCAGGGGAAAGGCCACTGTCTTCTGTTTACAACCTCAAAGGCTGAGGACCTTAACAGGCAAGGTGGCTCATATCCTGTAATCCCAGCACTCAGGAGGCTAAGGCATTTGTGCAAATCCACAAATAAGAAAAGAGGGGGTGCTGAGGATGTGCTCAGTACAATTGCACTAGGTTCAATCCCCGGTACAGGAAAAAAAAAGGACCTATAATAATTTGGAGAGAGGGTATTAGAAAATTAGTCCCGTTAGTGGCCCCAGTGAGGCCAAGGCTTCTCAGAAGAATTGGAGTCTTCTCCCCTCCAGGACTCCACCCCTGCTCCCGCCCAGCCGCAGGGCGCAGGGCAAGCTGAGTCAAGCACGGATGAGTCAGGACTTTCCCATCTCACACCTCCCCCTCTGCCCCTCAGGAATCCCCTGCTCCCAAAGACCCCTCCCCCTCTACTCAGTCACAGAAGGCACCAGGACGGTCTGGCGGTCTGGCCACCAGGGGAAGGAGGGCTGATTCATGGCAGGGAAGTTTTTAAAGTGATGAAGGGGCCTTCCTGGCACCAGGCCAGAAGCCCCTGTGCTGGAAGGACAGGCCTGGGACTTGGAACATGGTGCTCTTAGGAGGTGGGGTGGGGAGAACTGACTGTGATCACAAACAGGGAGCAGGTGCAAGTCACCTGAGTGAAAGGCCAGGACCAGACCCAAGAGAATGTGCCCTGAGGCAAGATGGCTGAGGCAGAGCCTGAGATCACTTGCCCCCTGCTGTGCAACACCTGAGCAGGGAGCCCAAACTCAGCCGCAGCCTACAGGTTAAGGTGAGCTTGAGCCATCCTGGAGGAAAGAGACAGGAAGGCTCCTGTGCCAGAGCCTCCAGCATGATGCACCAGCTCTGGTCACCCCTGCTGCCACCGGTAGGGCAGACATTCCCACACCTGTTTCCAAGTTGGGAGCCCCTGGTTGGTCGACCAACTGGCCCATATGTCTCATTGCACTGGTCAAAACCACCCCAAGGCTGGGAATATAGCTCATTGATAGAGAACTTGGACTTGAGTGAGACCCTGGGATCCATTCCCACCACTGAAAAAAATAAACCAAAGAGGCAGTAAGAAAAATGCTTTGGAAGTCAAGAGCAGCAATACATTCCCATAATCCCAGCACTCTAGAAGGCTAAACCAGGAGAATCACAAGTTCAAGCCCAACCTGGGGAACTTAGTGAGATCCTATCTCAAAGGGGGGGGGGGGGGGCTAGGGATGTAGCTCAGTGGAAAAACCTGAGTTCAACCTCTAATACTGCAAAAGTGCTTTGGAGGGTCCATGTCCCCACATGCAGTGAGCAGGCACCTGGCACCTCTAGGAGAGGAAAAAGTGCAGCTAGGACCCCTACTGGGGAAGACAGAGATAAGATCCTTGGCCTCTGGCTCAGAGAGAGTTCCCAAGAAAACAAGGTCCCAAGTCCTCTTTCTCTTGGCTGTCAGGACCCTGGTCCTTAGATGCTCTCCTCTACCACTCAGGTCACTTCCTCTTCCTGAGGTGATGACTCAGACAGTCAGTGAGGTCAAGGATTCATAGCCCAGCAGGAAATCTGCTCAAGGACAAAGGTGTTGCTTTGGGACCCTCGATGATGTGGGGACTTCCGGGCTCAGAGGGCCTTCCCCTGCCTGGGTTCCAAGCAGCTAGCAGTTCTCTCCACCTCCCCCACCCATTGCCAAAGGAGACCATGCAAATCATCCATTTTTGCTGGGGAGGTTTTGCCTGGGAGTTTCCAGTCCCAGCCCACCTGTAGCCCCAGGGTAAGGTCACTCAAAGCCAACCTTACAGGACAAAGAAATTTCTGGTCCTAGACCCTTGTACTATAGGATCTCTGAGGGGCTGGTTGGGGGAGGTCTGTCCATTATGGCCCACTGTCCTTCCTGGAGCCCAAGGGCACAAGTGGCATTGCCTGGACAGACCTGAGGCCACCTCACTCCTCTTGGTTCCTTCAGTCATTACCAGTGTGGCCAGCCCTTGGGAAATAACCATGCTCTGGCAGTAGGGTGCCCCCAAAGACTGCTACCCAATCCCTGGCTGCTCCCTCCCCCATTGGGGAGGGCTTAGGAGGGGGTGGGGGGCACAAGGAAACAAGACAGGGCAGGAAGCCCAGGCAGGCGTCGGGCACTCTGGGCCAGGCACAAACAGCCAACACAGGAAACCACAGCCCACCCCCGCCCACCCCACCCACCCAAGGCTCTGGGAGAAAGGAGTGCCAAAAGCTTGGTACCCCAACAGAAGCCAGGGCCAGGGGTTAGCCCAGGGGAAGGGAGGGAGGAGCTTGAAACTCTGAGCTCTCTCTCTCAGTCCCAGACACTACCTGAGGAGGGGGAGAGGAAGCCTGGCTGGCAGGGATGGCGCTGCCTCTTTAAATCCACCGAAATCCTGAGCTAGGCCCAACCCAGCTCTGGTTTCACAGGAAGGAAAGGAGCTCCGGAGCCAGTAGGGCAGGCGGTGGTGGCTGGAATTAGCCCCACCGGCCCAAATATATCTGGTCTCTGCCTGCCACCCCACTGGCACTTCCTGCCCCCTGGCACCTGCACCAGAGTGGGGGTGGGAGAGGGTCTAGGTGCTACTTATACTCTGTGGGAGACCCCTATCTTAGGAGGTAGCCTGTTCCTGCATGCATGTGGGTAGGAGGTTACTTCCCAAGCCTGGATTCCCAGAGCAGGAAGAAATGAGAAGGGCAGCGCTCCTGGTGGGCCATCACCTGGCCTTGGTCCTCCAAGGGGTTAATCTGGCCCCAGTTTAGGGGGGCAGGGGTGGCCAAGGAACCTCCTCCAAACTGCCTGGCTGCTGGGAACAATGGGGCCATTGTGGAAGGAGTGGAGTGCGGGCAGGCTGCTGGCACAGCCTGTGCACCACGGGGCGGGACCTCACCCAGTGCCTGCCTGCCTGCCTGCCTGCCTGCGCACTCTGCTCTCTCTCCCAGGTATGGCCAGAACAGACCCATCCTTCTAAACCCCCTCGCCTTGTCTGCCTGGCCCAAACTCTTGGCACCAGCAGCAACTGGGGGCCATGGCGCTCTGCCCACATTGACATCCAGACTGCCATGGCCCTCCAGGAAGCAGGGGCAAGTAGGCCAGGACAGGGTGGGGGTGATGAGACAGGATGTGTGCCTGTGATCCTCCTGCAGGAGAGACAGGAAGGCCAAATGGGGTTTCTGGTGTCAGTCTTGGCACCCTCAGACAAGGAGGGCTTAGGGGATTTTGAGGGCAGTGTCAGGCAGGGTCCCCTGCCTCCAGGCCTTTTTCACACCCATCCAGTGGAGGGGCTCCCTAAAGAGCACTACTGCCCAGGGAAGCCTCCTAGAGACTGGGTTTGGGACCTGGCAGACACTGCATTGTAGTGGAATAAGAACTGGCTTTCAGCCAGGCGGACAGGGTGCCTATCACACTGCTCCTTCTGAGCTATGGAACCCTGTCCACCCTTTGTCCCTCTCAGCCTCAGTTTCCACATCTGCAAAATGAAGATGATTAGCTGGGCATGATGGTGCACGCCTGTAATCCCTGCACTTGGGAGGCTGAGGCAAGAGGATAACTGCAAGTTGAAGGCCAGCCTGGTCTACATAGTGAGTTCAAGGCCAGCCTGAACTCTGTCTAAAAAAAAAAAAAGAAAGGATAATTTTACAGAGTCAGATAACTGTAGTGAAACTAACAATGCTTAAGATGTACTAGCTCTCAGAACCCCACCTCTGGCCTTGACGTCCCCTTTTTTTAATCCCTTGCCATGGCATCCAAATACGTGGGCATGTGGTGAAGGTGCATTTGGTGAATGTAGGCATCATCCAGCTATTTGCCCCCTCAGTACCCAGGTCATATTTGTATTAGCAAATACAAAGACATGGCTGTCCTCTGCCCTCCTTGAGGCCAGCTCTGGCTGTTAGCTCACCCTGGGCATCCCTGGGCTCCCTGACACATTCACACCCAGAGTATTAACACAGAGAGGCTGTCCACCTCTTAGCTTCAGGTCTATGTCTCAAGATCCCAGGAGACAAGGGAAGGGGATTCCCCTTCCACATGGCCTGTATCCCTTCCGTCAGACACCCATCTGCCACCCAACCTTCAGCAGTCACTTTGCAGAACTGGACTAGGAGGAGGCTTGTGCCTACCTCTTGCCATGGACCTCTTTAAAGAGTGGCGAGTCTGGGGCTGGGGATTTAGCTCAGTGGTTCCAGCACCTGCCTCGAAAGCACAAGGTCCCGAGTTCGATACCAGGTACCAAAAAAAAAAGAAAAAGAGTGGCAGGTCTGGAAGAGAAAGAAGGGCAACTGACAAGCGGTTTTGGAAAGTAGGAAGTTTAGGGAGAAGACTTGTTCTCTTTTCGAATAGAGAGGACTGTACCTCTTGGGGTGGCCCCACAAGCCCCCAAAGGGTTAACAAGGCCCTAAAAATAACCTGTTCCCAGCAGGACCCGCTGATCAGAACCCTCCAGCCATCTGTTCCCATTTTCTCCTGTTCATACTAGAACATCTGAAACCAGCCCCAGAGCCCCAGCCCAATCCCAAAAATAGCCCCAGCCTGCCTAAGGAACCAGCCCCAGTGGCTGGGCATGGGAGGTATGGTCAGCCCAGCCGTGAGGTATGCCCAGGCAAACCCAGGCAGATGGTGAACCCTCACTCCCCAGGCCCATGGAAGAGTGTCCTCTCTGTCCCTGAAAGGTGGGGAGCAGAGCCAGGGGCTCTGATCCATCACTCCCTGTACCAGGTGGGAGAGGTCATCTGCTCATTAGGCTCAGGCCTCAGACCCAGGAGCCCTGGTATCCAGGCACTTCTACTACATCTTAATCCCCAGAAGATCCCAACCACCTGTCTGCCTGGCTCCCTCACTGTGGGCACACCCCATCCCTGCAGTCCACTCTGGAACTCTTCAGCCCTCCTACTATCCCACTCCCTCCCAGTGGCACTTGCAGTCTCCCCGCCCCGGGCACACAGGGCTGAGGCAGGACTCTGCAGCACTGCCCAACTCACCATGCAGCCCCAGGGAGGGTCTCAGGGGTGCCCTTGGACACCACAGATACTGACATGACTGCGCTTCATCCACTCTGGGGGTGCTCCCTCCCTGCCCAAAGTGCCAGGCATGCCCACCTGGGCTTCTCCATCTATCATAGGCCCGAGCACCGCCCCTCCACACTCAGGGAAATGCCGAGGCAGGGAATCCAAGGGACCCTGAGACCTGAGGCAGGCCTAACAGCTGCCATCCACAGTACAGCTCTGCACGGCCACTTTTCTTCTCAAGGAAGGTCCCTGAGCCCTAGACCAGGAAGGAGAAGAGGCCACTGAACAGCACAGAAATTGGGGGTAGGGGGGTGGGAGGAGTGCTAAAGCTGAAGGAGCAAACTCGGGATGGTGGTGGGATCCGTGGGGAGATAGGGAGGGAAATGTATCCTCAGCTCCCAGGTCCTTCTCCAGGCCCATGGCTATCTGGAAAACTTGCAATCAAGGTGTCAGCTGGCACCAGCAGTGGGGAAACTGAGGCAGCAAAAGCTGGGTCTGGAAAGGTATTAGAATCTAGGAGTCCAAAGTGCTAAAAAGGCTATCTCTTTTCCATGCCCACACTGCTACCAATCGTTGCCCTGCTAAAGCCCCTGGGGGGGCTGGCAGTTCCTGGGAAGAGCTCTGACTAGTAACAGTGAGAAAGGCCTCTAATACTTACTGAGCATTTACTCAAACCCTTCATGGGCATTTTCCTTTTTTTTTTTTTTTTTTTTTGCACTGGGGATCGAACTCGGGTCCTTGCACTTGCAGGGCAGGTGGCGGAACCACTGAGCTAATGAGCTAAATCCCCGGCCCAGCATTTTCTGATTTAATCTTCAGACCATCTCTACTAAAAAGCACTTTTATTTATGTATTTATTTTGAGCCAGGGTCTCTCTCTGTGTTACCCAGGCTGGCCTTGAACCCCTGAACTCAAACAATCCTCCTGCTTCAGCCTCCAGAGTAGTTGGGACTACAGTTATCTGCCACCATGACCAGCCCTGGGAAGTGCTTTTATTGTTCCCACTTTACAGTTAAGAAAAGGAACAGGGGAGTTAAGTAACTTGCCCAAGACGCACAGCCTATAATTAGAAGCACCAGGATTTGAACCCAGACATTCCAGCCAGCAGTTGGGTTCTTAACTCTTGCACAATGCAGATGCACCATGGCCACAGCCCTGCTATGGTGAAAGAATGTCAAATGTCAGCCTCATGCCCTCATTGCCCATATCTGCCCTCAGTGCCTGATGGGTACCATGTCCCACACTGGAGGCCACAGTTCCCGCCTGGAAGAGATCAAAGAGACAGCACCGCTCCCAACCCCCTCTACACAGGTGCTGTTCCTGGCCAGAGCTCCAGAGAGCAAAGTTCCTGGGCCTCCCCCACTCCATCCACCACGGAGGGCCCAGTCCATCACCTCCTCACCCATCCAGGTCCCTAACAGTCAACAAGGTCACCAGGCAAGTTTCCAGGATAACAGCACAGAACCCCTGCTGAGAGATGCCCTAGGCTAGAGAGGAGTCAGCTGCCCTCTTTCCCCTAGGTGGGGGTCAAAGGTCAAGTGGGACTTGCCAGGAAAGGGTGGAGTCCAATCCCTGCTCCCCACCCACCTGGCTCAACCACACCAGCCCACTGCTCCCCACTTTTTTCATTGCAGAGTTGTAAGTAGGTCCACTTCCTCCCTGCCCCTCAGGGGGCAGTGGCCTCCAGCTGGGAGGGTGGGGACATTAGATGAAGGAACTAAAAGCCCCTCCCTCAGGGACAACCCAGGAGAAGCACCTCCTCCCTGTCCCTGGCTTCTTCCAGTTTTCTCTAGTCAGACAGGAGCCCAAAGGAGTGTTTGTTGTGAATTCAGGGAGTTGTTGCTAAGTAAGGAAGAAGGGGAGGGAGGGAGGCTGTATGTTTGTGTGTCTGTGTGAGTGTGTGTGTGAGCTATGTCTATGGGGCCCGGGCAGCAAGAACCACACTACTGTGGCTGGTAGCCACTCTGGCTTTGACAAAGCTAGTAGAGGCCAAAGCCATTAATGGGCCAACCAAGAAATCTACCTTGCTCTCCAGGGTGAGCGACTGAGCTCCATCTCCCCAGTTCCCACCCAGGCAGAGACCCCATTTAGAAAACGGCATTAACCCTTCCCATTGCAGCCCCGCCCCACTCCCTCCCTGGGTCCTAAGTTGAAGGCTGTTAGTACCCCAGGAGCTAAAGGAGGCCTCCCTCCTCTAGGGGGAGAGAATGCAAGAAAAAGTGGGGGCAGAAAGCCAGGAGGAGGGACCAAAAGACAAAAGCCAGGCAGGAGGCTAAGCCAGGATGATGCCACCACGGCCACTTCAGACAGAGATCAGGAAGGCTGAGGAGGACACACACAAGCACATGGACCTCTCACCTCTGGAATAGTGTGTGCTGGGCTCAGGCTCAAGGGTGTGGTCTGGGATGGGGGCTCCCTGTGGAGAGAGGGTCACAGCTAGAAACCCCAGACCATAATATATGCCCCTCTCCTCCCAGAACGCCCCCCCAATAAACATGTACACACTCACACAGCCTGCAGCTCCAGGAAGTGTCTGAGCTGCTCGGCCCCCCCACCCCCCTTCTGTGGACTGGCTGGGAGCCAGGCCTGACCCAGCTGCCCCACAACGCCACTCCCCCTCCTGGAAGAGGAAAGGAGAAGGCACTGGAAGACCTCAGAGTTCCCTGAGAGCTTGGCCTCACAGGGAGAGAGGAGGGGCAACTCCCACGACCTGGCCTGAGGACCTGAGCGGG